CCGAAACTCAACACCGAAACTGACCCGGAAAACCCTGAAACTCACAACTTCCTTGTGTTCATAAGGCTCGCAGGCTTACCGTTCAGGAATGCAGCAACTTCACAACTCTACCAATTGTCCTTCATCACCTCCCCTGTCTTGTATGACCAACAACCAGGGAAAGTCCCTGACATCGTTGTCCTGAATGAAGGGGTTACTCACCCCGGGTCTCCATAAGCTCGGGTGCTTTTTTGCGAGTAGGCAAAGCTTGTGAACGGCCAAGGGGGCCTGGACCGTAACTGTTCCTACCGCACACCTAATGCAAAACCTTCACAGCCAAGTACGATCCATGAACGATAAATCATCAACTCCAGACACCATCTGCATCAACCCCGGCAACAACAGCAGCATCCTTATCACCCGCATGAGCATCACTGTCATCATCACTAACTACCATTCTCGACGTCGCCACCTCCTCGTCAATTTCGGCAAACACGCCAGACTGGTGCCATCCTCGCACTAGTTGCTTTTTGCATCGAGTGCCGCCGGTGCTGCGAGGCAAGTTTGCAGTTTTGCAGTGTGAAACGGACATGCAATGCGTGCAGCTGGAGCTTACAGCTGATCTTTTCAGGCACCGTGGCCTTACCATACAACATGATACAACCATCAAGGTCAAAATCGGAGGGTTTCTCGAAGCGACTGCCCGGCACTAAGCCATAGCCTCGATAGGTTGCAGCACTGATGAGATGAGTCTAAGAACACAAGCGACGCACAAAAGCTGCTTTGCAGAATGCTTCGGGGAAACCCTCACTCGCAAAAGCGTCACTTGGTGACTACTCCGTCGACTTTTTCGCAGTTGGCTTTGCCTCCGCCTCACCGGCAGTTAGGACTTTTGAGGGGGTAGGTCATATGAAAAGGCTTGGAGCTTCAAACAAGCTCGACCGGACTCATAAAAAACCGGAGGAAGCCAAACCAACGCACAAAATCACTAGACTTCAGAGGTTTGGGGTCTCGGGTTTACCCTAACCCTCCAGGTACCTACTTTCTAGGGCCCTAGGGGCTCTAGTACTCTGTCTATATATATATATATATATGTGTGTGTGTGTATATATATATATATAGTAGGTACCTGAGGGGGGTTAGGGTTTAGAGTTTAGAGTTAACCCAAAACCTAATCTCCGGGCTGTAGGCCTGAACCCGCTACGACATGCGGAACCGTCGTCTGCTCCCGCTGTTGTTGTGGGTTTACGCTCTCACAACTCGGACAAGCCAGGCGAGGTTCATGTTGTGGGCTTAGGGTTTAGGGTTGATCGAAACCAAGATCCGTCGACATAGGGGCAGGAACGTTAGCAATTGGAATAGGGCTTTGGGCATATGGTGTGGGCATGTTATACTTTAGGTGTTGTTTTCGGCCCCCATGTTACAGATGTTGTTCTAGACAGGCATTCCAAGAGGTGTCCACGGAATACACTCAAACAAAGTTCACTGTCGGTAGACTTCCTGCGGCCCCAACCAAAATGCCCGACGTCTGAGAACCTTGAAACTTCGAGGGGGCCCTTCACGAATATGGACGCTGTTTTATAGGATCCACACTTTATCCCCTCAAAACCGTAAACCATAACCCCTGAACCGGGGTTTAGTGCATAGGGTTTAGGTCAGAGTCTCAGGCGTCAAATCTAGGCTAGGTCTCCCAGTGCCTCCTTCTGACCGGAGGGGGGCTTCAACACCTCTAACCTCGGCGGGCTGAAGTTTTAGGACAGGGTGTTTCGGGTTTCGGGATCGGGGCGTCAGGACGGGTATGGGAATTAGGACTTGGGGAAGCCTACGGGGGTAACTTTTGTGTTCTGTTGGGGGTGGAGGTAGGGGGTTCGGGTAAGAAATGCAGAGCCCACATGGTTGTAGCTTGCGGGCCCTAAATTAACACTATAATTATCCCCTAAACCCTAGGCCCTAGGTGCCGCTTCAAAGCAAAGACTCGTCCAGGAGTGGGCAGCGAAGCCCGTGGAACTCCAACACGCATCTCAACCAGCTCACAAAAGCCCTAACCTGAAATCCCGAAACCCTACTAAACCCTAAACCCCCAAAAAGGCAAAATGCTAACCTTGAACCCTTACTAAACCCTAAACCCCCAAAAAGGCAAAATGCTAACCCCGAACCCTCCCACATGTTGGCATCTGGAGACGTGGTCCCCAAAAGCTCGGCAATCATCGTCATCGGGGCAGTTCCCTAAATTAGGGTCCTTTTTTGGGTCCCCCCAAACAGTACGGCACCCTTGGAAAGAAGGACCCTAGAAGGGACCCTAATTTAGACGACTACCCATTTTTAGGTACCCCCAAATAGTACGGCACCCATTTTAAGAAGGACCCTAGAAGGGACCCTAATTTTGGACGACTACCCATCACTGTCCTAACCCTCATCATGGTCGCCCCTCTAATCCAAACTTTCTGAACCCATGTTTGCATCCCGGACACGCTGTATCAGCCCGGTGGGCGGCCTCCTGGTGGGATGCTGCAAGCAGTTTACGATTCTAGGGTCTGGGATGTTGGAGTTTGCGGTTCGGTTCAGGGATGATTACGGGCTTTCGACTCACGCACTCGCAAAGCAGGCATGGCGGGTTACTAAGGAGTGGGGTTTGGGGTGTGTGTAGTAGGCCGAAGACTGAAACAGGGAAAACGAAAGCACAGGAGAAGTAGAACACCTTCGAGGACGAAAAAAAAACGCAACCCGGACAGAACCCGTGCTGCTTAGTCAGTCAAGTTTGCTGCAGAGCTCAGATCTTGTATCATGCGCAATCATTCCTGCATGAAGCTCTGGCCCCTGCTTCCCCTCCGGCGAACATAAGTGTCAGGATCTCAGGGTTTAAACTCTGGAACTTTATGGGGGCTTGGGAATGCAGGGATCCTTGCGCACCTTGGCCAAACCCTGGCAGTGCCTCCAGCAATCTCAACTTGCAGCTAACAAGACCCTGCAACCTCAAAACCCTCAAGCAACCAACCGAGCCCTGCCCACCGCACTTTCTTAATGCAGCCATGCTGGGCCCTGCGCAGGAAGTGGATGCCTGGGCCTGAACCCGAAAGCCCTAAACTCAAATTCCTTGCAACTGGCTTGCAACCTCACGGCATGTTTCTGTCCACGACGAAACCATGAACCCACCCCTACAACCTAAAACAAGAGACACCTCTACAGGAACCCTCATAGCACGCTCAGCCCTTGCAAAACCCATTTCAGCAAAAACTTCCTGAGATCCAAGAACACCCTCAACCCTAAACCCTAAACCCGCCGTAAAGTGCAGGGCCCGGTCCTCCCAAGGGGCCAGCTGCCGGGACTCTTTCACCTGGGATTCACGCTCTCTCGCAACTCGGACTCAGTCAGTCGAGGTTTCGGTTCGCAGCTTGAACTACAGTGAGGAGCGGAGGTGGCTAGGATTTAGGAGTGGGGGCTTTATAAGGCCTATAAAGGTTTAGAGTTTAAGTTGAAGGGTCTTGGGGTTCAGGCTCCGGGCAACTTATGTCAGGGAGTGCTTCGGGTCGAAGCTCTGGGTCTCTAAAGGAGCCAGAGATCTTGCATTCTGGGGCTCATCTGGGTTGTAGGTGTGGCGTCTCAAGGACTCTGGTCTTGCGTTGGTACCATAGTGACGCGAGGGTGCTTTGATAGACTGTCCTAATCATGATTTTCAGCCAGACGGTGATAGCGCAATCACCTAGTAGATGTTTACGACTACAGTTCCAGTCTGCTGAATCCAAATTGCACACAACCTGAATCTGAATGTGGGGCCTTGTCTCGGCAATCTCAGTTTGCAAGGTGTATAATAGACGAAACGCCGTTTGCTCACGTGAATCCTAACCGCACCGCAAGTTTCCTGAAGCACCCGCACCTCAGCCTCGCCGAACCCTGTTGGGCACTCGCGGAGGTAGCACTTCACAACACTGCAAGTCATCGACATGTAGCTAACTGTTAGCTAACTATGAATGTACTGCGTTGGGAAAGAAGGTTGAAGGTATACCCGGCTCGGACTACCGAGATCGCCTAAACCCCCAGCCGAAAACATAGAAACTCCAACGACAAACCCTAAACCCCAAACCCTACACCTCGGAGTGCCGACAAGCGTCGCTGCTAGTGCTCGCAAGCACCCAGGATGCCAAACATGCACAAGCATAGTTTGTCTCCACCATGCGGTTGAAATCGAAATAGGGGAGCTCCAGCGTTTGCCTGGGTTTGGGTTTAGGATTTAGGATTTAGGGTTTAGGGTTTAGGGATGCTTTTTTGGCTTTCTCCGGGCTTGGGCATCGAGACTTCCGGAAGCCTAAGCTTTCAAGTACACCGCCCCTCCCCTACTAAGCTCTTCGTAAAGCCATAGACCATCATTGACCCTACTTGCCCTACTTCTTCGTTCTTTCTTGCAGGATTGGTTACCGGTTCTCGCACAGCTTTCCTTTTAGTCGTCGGGTTTGGGGTTCTGGTTCAGCCTTCAGGGTGTGCATGTCTGGGCTGACATAGAAGCCTAAAACGTTACCAACATGTGTCCTTAGGGTTCCTCCTGATGGTTCTACTCTGATAATACACCCCCCAATATACCCCATTCTAATTCTTGAGGCTCCTACATTCTACATGCTTCAACTCAAGCTTAAGCTTCAAAGTTACCCTAAACCCTAAACCCTACTAAACCCGAAACCCTACTGAACCCTAAACCCTACTAAACCCCAAAGCTTCAGGGGCCAGGATCCCCAGAAAAAGGAGGGCGATGCTCTCGGACCTTCTGCTCTCACGTGCTGATGGATGTCAGGAGGCCACGGCGCTCGAAACTTTTCGGGCCAACAACCGGGTTCAGAATCTAACAAGTGCTCCCTTGAAGGGGATGTTTCCCTTGCCCTACGTAGCCCGAGCCCAGAGTTCCCAGAGGCTTCGTGACTTAGGTTTACGGTTCAGGGTTTTACGGGTTTAGGGTTAATAGGGTCAGGGATTTAGGATATAGGGTATACTCCCAAGTAGACACTGCATGATGAACCCTCTGGCTGCTGACTTGCGATGTGCCTTCGAAGAGTCCTACTCGCACCTACTCACGGTTTACATGCAGACTGCGCGTCTCTGGAACAGTACAAACTGGACTTTGAAGTAACCAGGGAGAAAAATGTATAGACTTTTATTTCATATTGGTTCCTTTAAGGAACCGGTCCAATAAAACAGTATTCAAGTATGGTACTCCAGAGCCCAGCAAAGGACTGAGAACATCAAGCCCCTCAAGAACCACAGGTTCCCTTGTGCGGTTTTGGGCCTTAAGGCTTTAGGGTGTTTGACACTCACACTCGGTCGGACATGCCTGGGAAAAATTAACATCGTACTGTTTTAGGGTTTAGGGTTTTTTCTCCCCCTACAGTACCAAGGGGTTTGGGGTTTAGGGTTTTAGGGTTTAGGGCTCAGGGTTTCTATTCACAAAGGTGCTGGTAGGACTGGACCACGTAGTCGGGGATAGCAGCAGGCTCAAAAGCCAGGAGTCTCTCCTGGAACTGATCCAAGTCTGCCAGCATGGACTTCGCGGTTCTCCAGTCAACCTTCCTCAGAGGGTTTAGGGTTTAGGGATCATGGTGTGTTCTTTCTATTCGGGTTCCCAGGTTTCTGGAAAGCATCAACATGTGAAAAGTCTTGACATCTTCAATGGCGTTTAGGGGAACCCCCGCAAGTCACATGGACATACACTTATTTATTTATTTATAACATTTTTTATTATACTTATCTGTTTATCATAAGTATAGATATAGATATATATATATATATTAATACAAATATATACACACCCAAACGACAGCCCAGCATCTTGGAGCTCTTGTAGAGTAGGTTATAGGCCGCTGCGCAGACTGCAAGAGCACCTCTCAACACACCCACCCAAAGGGTCTTAGGTAGTGTTATGGGGGATACTGTCCCAAATCATAATACCAATTCCGAATATAGAAACCCTACATTCTACTATATAGGTACTTTTATAGGTACTTTGGACCCCTTGGGAAAGGGGGCTTTAAAACTTTACTAACGGGATTGAGCCCCCGGGGGCGAGGGCCAAGGGTCACGTAAGGTTTGCGACAGAACGGGGTTTTGGGATGACTGAAGATTTGGTCAAAGTGACCACACTAAACCCCTAACCCTAAACTCTTCTTCAACTCTTCTAAGCCGGCCTTTCGGTGGCCTCTCTGCGAGCTCTGCTAAGCTGGCCCTGCCCTTCTCTGACGTGAGCTGGTTCACGAAAACCTCGGCACGCCGGGCCCCTGTCTGACTGTCGCGCACGCGCTGCACCTTGTGGTGGGCCGCATGGGCATGGGCCTCGAGGACGTTGGATCGTTCCTGGTCTTGACCATCTCCCGACCCCGCCCTTAGGATCCAGTTCACGAACTCTTCGTACTGAATCTGCCCATCACCATTTGTGTCAATGTGCTTCAAGAGCTTGGACATGTCCTGTTTCTCCAAGGTTATCCTGGACAGTACGGACAAGAGCTCCTCTGCGGAAATGATGCCATCACGGTTCTTGTCAAATCTTCTGAAGACATCGGTGATGAGCTTCCCGTCCATGCTCGAGACTCACTCGTGCTGAGGGGCCTCTGGATTTATTCTCTAATCCTTGAGCCAAAACGGGTTGTGTGGCAAGCATAAAGTAAGCCCTACGGTTAAAGCGCACTTCATGAACGCAAAACCCGTCCCACCTAAACGCTGGTAAACATAAGCCGGACCATCGTCGTGACCCAAGCCCCTCCCTCACAACACTTGATGAAAAGCTCTCCGATACAGATTACACCACCCAGCTGACTGAACTAAACATACCCTTGATCATACCCTTGCTTTCAGAAAACCAAAATGTTAAACCATGGAGCAAAGTCTCTAGAAACTTTTTCGGCAATGCAATCCCAAAACCAAGACTGCTTTATAACTCCGAATGTTTCAGAAATGCGAAGGTCAGTACAAGTTACACTCTACAAAACCCCTGCAAGGGATTTTGTGATTCTGGGCACCTCTAAACCCTAAACCCCAAAAGCCCCTAAGGTATACAGTAAGTCCGATGCACCGGGTGCCCTTGCGGATTCGCGCAATCGAGTCTCCATCTCGGCAGCCATGACCTTGCGGCTTACGGTTGGGTTTAGGGTTTAGGGATTTTGTCTTTAACTTTTGTTGAAGGACCCTTTTCTCCCTGTGGTTTAGAATTTAGGGTTGTCTCAGGCTTAGGGCTAGGAGGTTTCGTGCTTTGAAACGCCCTAAGCGCCCCAACAAGAAAACTGCATATAACCCCACAGACCTAACAGCCTCAAACCGACTCAAGCATTATACACCCCAAAAGTCAAACTCGACCACCCAAAAATGGAAACCTTAAAGCCCTGAAGCCCGCAACCACTTCAACCGACGCCCTCCTACTCTGGGAGACACCTGTTTTTCTTCCACTTGCGAGTTAGGGTTTAGGGTTTAGGGTTTTTAGGGTGAAGATTAAGCCAAATCTGCTCGGACGGACTAGTAGTTCCCTGGCCTGTACATAAATGTCAGACCCATGGTAAATAAACTCCTCCCTATCGATTCTAATGAGGATCCTCATTAACATTTACGCCCTTCAAGAAAGTCGGACGTAATTAATTGTTCTTCATCGCAAAATCTGTATGCCCATAGATCTTAACCATCGCAGCCGCGCCATTTCTCGCTGTGTGGATGTTGTGCACATGCGCACTTTCCGACGATCGTCTTCGCCAAGGACACACTTCGATCTGCATCCCGAAAACACTCGGAGGGAGGGAGGGAGAGAGAGAGAGAGAGAGAGAGAGTGTAAGTTAAAACCGAACAGGGCGGGCAACTCAGGAAACTGCCAAACCCAAGATGTGTTCGTGCCGATGTGGGAGTTGATTAGAGTCAGCACAAGAGATGGACATAAACCCTAAACCCTTTGAACGCTTT